GTGCTGATCGTTGGGGTAGGCGTGAAATCAGCAAACGCAACTGGATGCTCGAACGGGACGGTTACGGAAATGCGCGACCGCTCAGGCTGCTAGGTTGAAGTAGAGAGGGTCTGAGTAAGAATCAGGCAAATAGTACGAGATACAGAGAGCAACGGATCGAGAACGTAACAGAACGAATTGGAAATATCAAATCGAAATCCCTTCACCAATTAATAAATTAGGAGACTCACCAGAGCTGGTGCAGCTAATCCGTGAAGGCCGAGAACTGCATCCAGAAGACACTCGGGTGGGCACTGCACTAGGACACGGAACACCACACCTCTGGAACACTCACAGGAGATCCATAGAATTTCCTGGTTATCGAGAGCAACGCGAGAGCTACACGGGAACATTCTATACCGTATCGAAACACAGCTAGAAAAACTATAAACAGACAACACGGGAGCGCGAGTCAGTTAGTGACACCTCGGTCGGTGCCCCGAGACAGACTGCTTTGACAATAGCCAAATTCGAGAACTAATAAGAGAACTAATCATTCTGATTGGTCGAGATCCTTATAGCCGATAACTCTTCCTTTCCCTCTGTCCGTCCCTTTAAACCAAATCGAGAGTGTTCCTTAGCGAATCGGCCGATTCCTCAGGGCATCGGGCGACAGCTGGGCACAGCATCCTTATCTCGGGTCAGGGTGTCTCCCCTGCCTTTAACCGTGTCAAAACTCTATATCCACCCGCTCTACAGCCCTTTGCCCATCTCCAGCGGGGCGCCGGTACCTTACCCGGGCTTCTGCCGGTCCGTGAAGACGTCTCCGTCGGGTACTCTCCTCTGCCGGGCAACTCGGTACGTCGAGACTATCTCCCCACGGCAGATTCGAGCATCTCGACCTCAATTAAACAATAACGAAATCTTACGAGAGCATTGGCGTACCTATACGAATCAACCCGAGAGCGCAGCTTCTTGGGCGACCCGAAGGGAGCCAGAAATCGAGAACTTTATCCGTATCGGTAGCCGGAATCGCCTTTTGACCGTGAAACGAAAAATCACGTTACAATATATACCTGAATCTACTGTATAAAAATGGTATTCGCATTTCTATGAAATTTTTCAATATATATAGGTATATCGTGTGCATACAACGTCGCGTGAATATTCGCCTGAGTTTCATGGGATTCGCAGCCATCGCCAGGAAACGCGCAGCAGTTTGCATTATTAATTTCGTATTTCCTAACTGCTCGAGGACAGTCTGGAATTTCCATAGTTTTCAATCAAACGTACGATCTCGGATTCGATTTAGAGTAGATTCTTGGAAATATTCGTTGGACATAACAGGTAAAGTAAATGCAAAAAAGGAAATCGATTTTCGGATGGTATCACACATTTATAAATTTAAAATACACAGTAGATAACAGTCACGGTACAGTGGGTTGAATAGAAGAAGTGTCGTTCTCGTACAATACCTATATATCTTCGGGCATGTATCCTCTTATGCTATAACATATTTTTAGCGGTACGTACTGTAGATACTAGCACGATAGAGTACAGTATACAATATGTAAGTAATTTATGGAGCATGACGCAAAACGTCATTACACATAAAGACTCTCGTGTATACGAGTCATCGAGTACAGAACGTCTGTGTTATTGGAGAGAAAGAAAAAAAAAATTTCTTTGGTTTGCTGAAAATTCGAAAACTTTTTTTTTCTAAATACACTCGATTTTCCATAGGTCCATTCAAATCCATACAATGCGACGGATAGTGAATCAAGTGTCCGCGCATGCGCACTGGTACTTTAGAACAATAAAATGAGAGAGGGGGTATCGATCGTAAATTTTTATTTAAAAAGACATTTTAATTGTTTTCCGCGTAGTCAACTTTTTTTTTTCTTTTCGTCAGAAAAATTTTATTACGTCTCCAAGCACGTTTAACGACATTCCGCGCTATTATCGGGTAACAATTTTCGTGTATTTATCGCGATCGGGTCTGCGTTCTGTTGGTTTTTTCGTGTAATCGGTATCCTTTGTGTCGCGTGGTTGTGAGATGCGTCCGATCGGTAAAACGTTTAATTAACGTAAAAGGCGAAATTAATATACGATCGATACCCGCAGAAGAATTGCTCGTCATTGCAATTACGGGCGAGGCGAAGAAAAAGTGGGAAAATACAAGTCGGGTATTACGTACAACGACGAGGTAGGCCTGTTCGAGAGGAGCGCGTCATCTCTCATGTGTTGTAAGCGTTGCTGCTGTTACAGAGTCTGCAGTGTCGGTGAAACAGGCTGAGAAAGTTCTCAGGCGACTTCGCGCGCGGAAAAATCGAATGCAGGAACTACGGTTTTGTTATTGGAGAAAATAGAGGAGGGTGACGATTTTTCGTGGGAAAGATTTCGCAAAATTTATAAAATCGCGTTGGTGCTGTGATCGAATTTAGTTTTTTTTATCTCGATTAATCGATTTAGCAATTATCGATTAATCATCCAATAAATCACTTACGGCTATAATGGAATGAATTATCTTTCCTCACCGGTGGTCTCTGTAAACGGAAATTCATCGTTCTCCAACGTGATCGGACACTTTATCGGTACCACGAGAAACATACTCGATTGCCGATCCCTTTTACTTCCGCTCGGAGCAATCATCGATGCGTGTTTCTTGCGAACCCTTGCGGGAACCGCGACTTTCCATCAGTTAGGATGACGTTTTAATTACTTGATAACGGTAGACAGTGGCGGTTCTCAACGTGAAGGATACATTTGGAAATTTAATTTATTAAAAATATAAAATATTCAAATTTCATTTTCATAACGCGTAAAACATAGATTTTTCGGGGATTTGCGAAATTTTTTCCAGGAAAAACGAAAAAAAAAGCATCTGTGAAAAATAACACTTGCGAAGAATGAAGATACTGCATTTGGCTGATACCGAAGATGGGCAGCCGATTCGTCCGCGGTCGAATAACAGTAATTATATACATGTATATATATATATATATATATTATCAATCAAAAATTGGTCGTTATGTATGATTTATCATTTAATTTATTTTAAGTTAAAACTTTTTTTACAATAATATCTTACATTCATTTACACCATCTCCTCGAAAACATTCTTCGCACGGCTCCTATTGCGGTAAATTATTATTTTTTTGTTCCGTTTAAAAATCATATTTTACAGACTACACTCTACTCCCTAATAATACTATATAGATATTTATATGTATGGGTTGTTGTTGTGGTTGGTTGTTTATATCAAATCTCTGTGATAATCATGCGATTTTCTAAAATTCAGTCTTTTGGAAAATCGCAATGCCCCGTCCTCGCGCGCGGCCGCGCGAGTCCGTCTCACAAAAGCGCCTCGGGCCGCGGAATAGCAATAATATAATTTCCATAACGTAGAATTTCAATTCAGTAATTTAATTACACTAGAATAAGTAACCTCTAAAATCGAAAAATCACAATGTGGTCTCAACTCAAAGAGAGTTCCATAAATGTTACCTTACACTTTTTTTTCTTTTTTCTTTTTAATACTTTGACTATCTAGTTAAATGTTTTCGATTAACCACTAATTTTATGCACAATCACTTACTTCCGTATTAATTATCCATACGATATTGTTTATAATAATAATAACGATACACAATCTTGAAGATACAAAATTTACACGTGTCTGACTAATCTATCCCTCCCGGTACAGTTACAACCGATCGACCGTCCCAAGCCCAATATCGTTAACAATCGTATTCAAATTAAAACCCAGCTTCCCGCCCTTCTCCATCCTCCTAGAGTTCCGGTTCTTGTCGGTCGCTCGTAATCGCCTGGGAGGGCACGATATAATTTACCATTTTTATTACTAACCAGTACAACACACGTAACGCCACGATCGAAGGGGCGGCTCTCGGGATGGGAGGTCAACAGATTTTTCTCAGGCATAAACGATTTCGTTTAATCGTACGCAATTAATTGTGCATTTCACCCCCCCCCCAACCCATTAAATGACTGTTGCATCGTTCGTAACAAAGCGGTGTAAAAAATGAAAAAAAAAAATTTTTTTTTTTTTTTTTTCAAAAAAAGTAAAATCGATCTCCGTACAAAGGAGCCAAATCCAACGTGAGACACGAGAGTCACTTTCGAATTTCGGATGATCCCAAGGCCGGACGCTACGGCGTTGCAGCTGTCACACAGGCTGCACCGTAAATGCACTGCATTCAAGAGCGAAGTGCAACTTTGAGCAGACTTCGTAAGGTCCGTGGTAGCGTCGGGATGAATTACGTAATAAATTGTGAAATTGGGTAAAGCGCGTATACCCAAGAGTTGCATCGGCTGCATGCGACAGGTATCGTGTATGCTACGTACGAAGAATAAGAACGACGCGTGGAGTTGACCCGAGTGCAGCAGCTAGTTCACGGTGTGTCACGCACCTTTATACGTATGGATTTCTCTTATTTCGATCCCTTCCTGGTTTCTTCGAGACAGCCGGCAGTTCGATCGGACGTGGTTTTATAGTTCATCATTATTTACTTTAAATTGCACAATATTTTTTTTTTTTCAATTAGGGCCTATTTTACACTGTAGCTGAAATTCCCGAAGTAATTGCCTTCGTATTCGGGGGGCTTCATACCCTCCTCTCGAGTTACGAGGCGCTTTGCCGTTTTACCTTTTTTTTTACCTCTCATTCTCTTATCATCTTAGCTCTCATCTAATTCTCATCTAGATTAATTCACTCTCTAATACGCTTTCTCACTCGCTCTCTGCGTATACTCTCTCTCCTTCACCCACCCACCCACTCGTCGTATCCTTCATCTCTCTCTCTCTCTCTCTCTCTCTCTCTCTCTCTCTCTCTCTCTCTCACTCTC